TACTCAAGGATGTATGTCACTGAGGCAAACCCCGTCAGAAAAAAACATCATTTCGCCTCTGGCCCCTCCCGTCTCTGCAAATTGGGAGCAAGCCTGGGTAGTAAAGGCTGGAGCAGCGCCTCTGAAGCGCTGCGCCAGAAGCTAAAGGCCAGCATGAAGCAGCATGCAGAAAGGAGGCAAATCAGTGTATTGCTGCGCCCTTTAGAAGGGCTCCCTGTAGGGCTTTAAAATTAGGAAGGCTGGGTGGGAAAAAATCACGTTCCCTGACCGGGAATCGAACCCGGGCCGCGGCGGTGAGAGCGCCGAATCCTAACCACTAGACCACCAGGGAGCTCTGAGTGATACAGCTCAGACCGCCTTAACTTCCTATCATTGTTTCACTTTCATTTTCATAGCCAATGCGTTATGAGAAAGAGAAAGTGGGTGAGGTCATCTCTTTCATTGGTGCAGCTTCTGTTGGTGAGAGAGACAAGCTTTGAAAGGCTCTGTGTAAGCCCCAAAGCCTCTCTCTTTCACCAACAGAAGTTGGGCAAATAAAATATATGACCTCACCTAGCTCCTCTCTCTAATAGCCTGGGTCTAACTGCAATGCAACATAGCAAACTGAATGCTCAGCCTACATTTAATGTGCTATATCAATACATTATTATTAAATAAGCGACATGTATAATAAAACTAACAAGGAGTCCGGTGGCACCTTAAAGACTAATAGATTTATTTGGGCATCAGCTTTTGTGGGTAAAAAACCTCGCTTCTTCAATCTGATGCCCAAATAAATCTGTTAGTCTTTAAGGTGCCACCGAACTCCTTGTTGTTTTTGTGGATACAGACTAACACGGCTACCTCCTGATACCTGAAATGTATAATGATACACTGAATGCTCCAAAGGGCAGCACCTTTCTTTCAACCATTTTCAGATCCTCCAGCCTCAGACTTGCATATTAAAAATACCCAGCGTGTTACTGGTAGTAGTCATTTGTTCTATTTCTCCGGAGTTCCATGCCTGACATTTCTCAGCAAGGAAAAAGTCACCAATGTCATCATCCCCAGCCAAACAGAAGGTGAGGGGGATGGCAGGAGCCTTTCCTCTGACACTGCCCCAGAAGTAAGTGGGGCTGGGCTGGAGTCAGGAGCAGCTGTGGGGCTGGGAGAGCCGGGCACAGAAGGGTAGGTCAGTGCCTGGCAGAAAGAGGGTAGGATCTGCTGGGAGGCAGAGCCTGGGGCATCACCCTGAGTGGGCAGGCCAGGGTGAGATTGGTGGGGCTGCAGGAGTTTGGGGCTGTCTCCCTTGTTCCCCATTCTGCCCTGTCCTTTTTCAGCCTCTGCCCCCCACATTTTGTCCCATGTCCCCCACCCCAGCCTTTTCTGTCCCTGCATCACATCCCCTCCCCCTCATTCTGCCCTCATCCCACTGCAGGGGCAGGGCCTGCAGGCACAGACAGCGTGTAGAGCCCCCTGGTCCCTCCGCCTAGGACAGGGGTGGACAAACTTTTTGGCCTGAGGGCCACATCCGGGTCTGGAAATTGTGTGGTGGGCCATGAATGCTCATGAAATTGGGGGTAGGGGTGCGGGGGGGGGGGGTTGAGAGCTCTGGCTGGGGGTGCAGGCTCTGGGGTGGGGCCAGAAATGAGGAGTTCAGGGTGCAGGAGGGGGCTCCGGGTTGCAGTGCAGGGGCGGGGGGCTGGGGATGAGGTGCTCTGGGATACAAGAGGGGGCTCTGGGCTGAGATTGAGGGGTTTGGAGGGCAGGAGGGGGATCAGGACTGTGGCAGGTGATTGGGATGCAGGGGGGGCTCAGGAGTGCAGGCTCCAGGCAGCGCTTACCACAAGCAGCTCCTGGAAGCATGTCCCCCCTACGGCTCCGAGGCAAGGCCAGGCGGCTCTGCGCACTGCCCGGTACACAGGCGCCACCCCTGCAGCTCCCATTGGCCAATAATTGCGGCCAATGGGAGCCACAGGGGCAGTGCCTGGGGACAGGGCAGCGCACAGAGCCACCTGGCCACGCCTCCACGTACTACATAGGAGCCGGAGGGAGGTCATGCCGGCTGCTTCCTGGGAGACACGTGGAGCGGGGCAAGCTCCTGACCCCGCTCCCCAGCTGGAGCTGAGGGCCAGATTAAATGGTCTGAGGGGCCGGATGTGGCCCGCGGGCTGTAGTTTGCCCACCCCTGGCCTAGGTGCTTCAGGGACATGCCGGTGGGTGCTGGGGAGCCCCCCACCCCAGGAAAGCGCCCCCTCCCACACACCCAAACTGCTGCTGCTCCTGTGACCTCTGGGACAGACACGCAGCCTTACTTATAGCCTGGGAACGTAAGAATTGCCAGACCAGATCAGATCCCTGGGCCATCTCATCCAGAATCTTGTCTCTGACACCAGCCAACACCTGATGCTTCAGAGGAAGGTGTAAGAACTCTGCAGCAGCAGATGTGGGATAATCAGACCCCCACATTGATCTCATCTTAATCTCTAATAGAGATTAGTTTAAGCCCCGAACCACAAAGATTAATATCCCTTCCAGAATTTTTGTTAGCATAATGGATAGGGGCTCTAGATATTCTTGTTATCCATATAAATGTCCAGTCCCATTCTGAGTCTTGCTAAGTTCTTGGTCTCAACTTTGACAAACTTTAACTGTTTGGAACTAATATTTCATGCTCTCTCTCTGTCTCAGCAGGGATTTCATTTTTTTAAGTTTGAGCAAAAGTGATTCAGTTTTGAGAAATGAGATCAGTGAGATGTATCATCATCAGCGATCCCTCAATTCGAGGATGATCTCGACCACAGATTTACATATGGGTCCTGAGATGACTCAGGAGTCTGATCCTGGAACCACAGATCTTCCCATCATAGGTACAGATATTTCCTGATGGGTCAGCTGCCTGCTGGGAGAAATTCTTTCTTTTTCCTTCCTTCTTTCTCTCTTTTTAGCTTTAAGGCCAAGACGCTTCTCCTCCAAGTGGGCCACTGCCTGATGGAGGATGGTGGCGCCAGTGACATATATACATATCACTCTCAACCCTCTCAAAATCACACCAACAGGTTCCATTTAAGTCTGCTTTAATGGCTTAGCATTCACCAAATACCAACGTCCTATGGAATTCAGATGGAGAACTCAGTACAGGAGCAGGTCAAGTGAAGATTTCCCCCCTGGAATATGCTTTATTTACTATTTTATATCACCGCGGATCTACGTTTCTTGCAAAATCACTTTGGATGCTAGAAGAAGTGTAGGAGGACTTGTGGCACCTTAGAGACTAACAAATTTATTAGAGCATAAGCTTTCGTGGACTACAGCCCACTTCTT